TTAATTTTAAAGAACATATTTCTGATTAAATAAGATGGTTAAAATGAGAGCTGGAATTTTATTTAGGTAAGAGCACTGTGTTCCTGACGAGACATTAAATATGCTATGTAAATTCCTTTATTAAACTTACTTTGATTTATGGTATTGGATGTATGCGACAGTATATTATTTGAAACAATTATAATGTTCTCAAAACATGTATGCCAGATGCATTACATTTTCCAGTTTTAGAGCTCATTCTCATTTATTTTTTATATATTTAAGCTGTATACTATAACTATAGCTCACCACTTAAGCATTGATAAAGAGAGCACAAGCTATTAAAATATCACTTTTATTATATTCTATTAAAATTGTGTTCCGCAAGTCAATCTTCGATGATTGTACGTCATCTTCTCTATGTTTATGCATTTTATTTTAATTGGGGCACACATGCAACTCCACTCTTCAATATAGGCCTATAGTTTACCACATAGTCTATCGGAATATTTTAAGAACTATTTATAGAGCAAGATTCAATGATAATTTTAATCTATCCATACCCAGACATAAAACTAATTTAGGCAAATTTGAAATTAAACCTATGGAGTTTTTTACTTACTGATTTAAAAGAGATCACTTCAAGAAATGTTTTTGTTTCAAAACTTAAAACCTTTTCTTTGTTATCAGAGTATTGGGGCTATAGCTTGGTCTTTTTTATATTTTATTATTTAATTAATTATTGAATTGTATTGTTTAGGTGTAGGAGTTAAGGAGTAGTTAAGAAAGTTTGATTAACAAAAATCTATTTCTTGGATCCTATATTGTAATTCATACCATGTTGTATCAGGTATGTTGCAATAAAGAAAATTACAAAAAGATACGATATACAGCAAAGTATATGAATTGACTTGATTCTCCAATTTACTGTACTACATGTGTAGCAAAACCTATTATGTGTATTAAGCATTTGTACAATACTTTTCAACTTTAACATGTTATTTCACAATTGAATGCAGATCAGTTACAAAATGGAAAGCAATAAAAAATGCTTGAAAAATAAAATCATACAAAAAAATTACTAAAACATTAAGATTCATTTTACTATTATAAGTTGTAACCATGTGATGAAAAGTGAGTCAGTCTTTTCCCTTCCGATAAATCTAAAATATGAATTGATATTCACATTGTGCCTGCAAAAAATTGATATATTTCTTAAGTTTTTGAGACCAGTAGGTTTTGAACCCCACACGTTTTTATTGAGTGCATCAGTATTGCACTGTGTCCATAGGCTTGGGAATAAGCGTAATTATAATATAGATAATATCAAGTAAAATATACTGCTATAACTTACTCTGAGAAATCTGTAGCATGTTGAAGGGTGTGTTAATGAGGTACATGTCTACTACTACCCCTTACCTAAGCTAATATAGTGTAGCTCTCCTATTTGACCAAATAACATTACACCATCTGGATTGGAATTAGACCATATGAACTAAATTTAAAACTTTGTATTATTTTGCTTATATGAAACTGAACTGTAAAATTACTATACTGAAAACATATTTACATTTTCATAGTTCAGTTACATAAGCCACACCATACCATACAAATTGATTTTAGATTGGCACATCTCCATAGAAACAGTAAAAGGGAAGATCTGCAGATCATTAAAGCAAATAGTATACAACACAAATATTGCTCCTAATTATTTTGGTTAAGAATGAAGGAGCTAACATAGCTACTGTCGGTAATGAATATTTATTAACTTACTTTATCAAAAATATTTTTTACAGCCAAATAATTGAATACATTTCAAATATCAATGTCAAGCGTAATATACAGTACTGTATCATTTAGCACCTAGTACATACCTTCATTTAACTTTGGTCGTTTTGATGTTGATGGTTCTTCATTACCTGTACAAAAAAACGAGAATGAGAATATTGCAATGGACTGATTGTCATTCAGGGCTTGATATCTGGTACTGTATTGGATTCATTTATCTTGCAAAATGTAGATTTGTTGTTTTTTTATTTGGGTCTCAATTATTCAGCAGTGGATTTTCATAGTTCAGTCACATAAGCCACATCATACAAGTTAATTTGTGATTGACACATATTCATAGACAATAAGAAGTGAAGATTTGCAAATTATGAAACTTTTTATTTAAAAAAAACAAATAGAATGCAACATAAATTTTGTTCCTAATTTTTAGTTAAGAAGAGCTACCACAGCAGAAGTTGGTAATGAATATTAATTTGGTTTTTTTTTTTCTTTTCTAGAAAAGCCACATTTATTCTCATTATTTAAAAAAACATAAACATTCACATATACACCAATATGGAACATAAAAAAAAATCCATCTCAGTTTTCATTCTTATTTTCATTTCCTTCTTAACTTAAAACAAATAATTTATTTTCTCCAAGAAGTTCCAATATTTGTTTCTTAAATTCACATCTTTATATTTTCTTTAAAACAAAACTTGTAAATTTAATTTCAGGCAAAGGCCTATTTACATCTGTTGTTCAAATATTAATGTCAAATGCAACTTACTGTATAGTTTAGCACCCCGTTACATACCTTCATTTAACTTTGGTCGTTTTGATGTTGAGGGTTCTTCGTTACCTGTACAAAACCAGAAATTGAGAATGTGAACATTAACAGCATAGCTACACAAGAACATAACACACACAGCACAGTATTCTGAATATAACAGCCAAGCTTTAAGTTTAAGGTACAGTAACAAGGCTTGAGCTCTGGTAGGCCCTACAGGAATCATCATCATTTGGGTCTAAAGATTTGTTTGCCTTAAGTAATGTAGATCCGTTTTTTATGGTCTTAAAAATCGGGCAGTGGATTTCAACCAATCACAAAACAAGGCATGTCTAGAATGATATGACGAGTTTGTATACATTAGTTGCATTGATGTAGCAAATTAAGCAATTTCAAATATTATTGTCAAGTAAAACATATCATTTAGCACCCAGTACATACCTTCATTTAACTTTGGTCGTTTTGATGTTGATGCTTCTCTGTTATCTGTAAAAGAAACCAAAAATAGAGAATGTGAGCACCCTAGCAGTAGAACACAGAACAACAGCCTTTATATAAAAACCACGATACAAGTTTGAGCTGAGGCAAGAGGGCCAGGTACATTAATCATTGTCATTCATGTCTAACCGTTCCATACTGGATTCGTTTGTTTACAATAATGCAATACTTTTCACTATGCCACAAATTGAACAATTTCAGTCAGGAAAAACTTTTAGTACTCATACCACTTTCAAGGAGTGTTGAAAAAACGTTGAATAACCGTATAGATAATGTTCTTACAATCTTCCTATTGTTTTAAATGAGGTATTATGTAACTGAATATTAAATTAGTTCTAAAATTATTTAAAATTTGTAAATTTCTCCTTTAGCCAACCATACCTTCAAGTAATGCTTTCACAGTCAAGTAACTTGGTAATCCTTCAATGAAATTGTAAATCTTTTCTTCACAAAGCTCCTTCCTTTGCTCTAAATCCAGAATCAATTGCCAGCTATCATCATAATTCTTTAACAGTGGAATGTTATATCGTACATCAAGCGCTTCTATATCACCTTTCGTCAGTACCGTTCCTAGCTTTAACAGGAATTGCCTGTACCATGTAAATTTAGTCACTTCATGTTCCCTGATTCTTTGTAAAGGTGGAAGTACAATTCTGGAGTTGAAGCCAAATTGTCCAGTAGCTTTTATTGTGTCATACAGGATAGTGAGATCCGTTGAACTCAAATTCCCAGAACCAATTAACATACTTAGCAATGAGCTCACCTTAGTAGCCTCACTTAACTTATTATAAATTGGCACATGGTCTGTGTAGAGAACTTTCAGCGTATTGATGTATCCAAGTCTATCATACCATCTTGAAAAATCCACCAACAGCTGGTTAAAATTGCTCTCTGATTGTGATGATAGGTAATTCATAAGTACAATGCTTCTTATTAATAAGTCATCAAAAATAAAAATGCACAGTTGATATAATTTCTAAAGTTCAATGAAACAAGACTATGATTATTGTTTGAAGGTTTGCATGGCGAAGTAATAATATCAGTGGCGGCGCTACGGGGACAAGGGGGGCATTTCTCCCCCAGAAAATTCCCCCCAGAATAAAAGAAAAACATAATTTGTAGGGGAAAAATATATTATATATATTTTCTACATAGTAGTACAGTACACTATCTATAGATAAAATTGATTAATTAAGCCTCTGAAACCCCTAAGTTGTCATATTTTTGGGGAGCTCCGCCCTCGGACTGCTTCGAAACATTTTAATCAACACCCAACCACGCCCACTTTGCACTCTTCGGGGAAATTCCCTTAAACCAAATCGTACACTCTTCCCCCCCCCCCACCCAGATTCAGACGCTGGCACCACCACTGAATAATATATATTAATGCTTGCGGTACACCACATTCATAGTTCTGAAAAGAGATATTCTCAACCAACAACAACAGTTCTTTTCAGAACTATCAAGCATATATAATATATTTAAGACTATAATTGTATCACTTGAATTAATTTCACTTTTAATCATAATTAAAAATACTTTCTTCAGTGAGTCAGATCAATTACAGAATATAATGCGAGCAGAGAATCTGCATTGTGTACCACATAATTGGCTCCTATGACAAGGGCAATAAAGTGAAGTCCCTTATAATGGTTAGAAAGGCAAACACCAACAACAATCAGCGGCGGATTCAAGGGGGCCTAGCCAGCCCGGCTACGCCTCCCCCTTAAACTTTCTAAAATTAAAATTAAAAATAGAGAGAGAAAGAAAGTTCTACACAAATTTTGAGTTTAGGAGTGTCATTTCCGACCATCTAGAGATAACATAATCATAAATTTTCTTGCCTCAGCCCCAACCATGGTGGGGCTGAGGTAGTGCAGACCCTCCATCTGTGAATGTTCCTCTTTGGGCCCCTCTATTTCAAATTCCTGGATCCACCAGTGATAATAAATACTGTAATATTTACCGGTTTCCTCCATCCTTTTTTTGACGTCTACGTCTCACAGCAATTCATTAAATATTTGCTATCAAACTGTTGAGATTCACAAATTTTTCGCTAAAAATGCAATGAAAATGAACATTTACTTATCTTAAAAATAGCTTTTGGTAAATTTCCTGTTGATTTCGGTATACTGGGTAGCAGGGGTTTAGCCAGAAAAATGAAATAGGCCGTCCAATATGTTTTAGTTTAATGCAACATTTGATGGATTCAAAGAAAGTAAAGAATTTGCTAAGGTAGACCAGGCCCAACTAAGCTAGGCCAAGCTGAGTAGGCCAAGCCGTCACGGTAAAAGTGGCCATCCTAAATAATCTTTGGCCATCTAAAAGACAGCCGGACGGCTCGCTGGCTAAGCCCTTGCTGGGTAGGAACATCAAGATTTCCTGACTCCACAACATTCACAGAAGCTTTTGTGAAGAGAGGCTATCCAGTGGTGGCTTTAGTGTGGCCACGACAAGCTAACTTCAATTTTCAATTTAGAAAGATCGAATGTGTTATTAAAAACTGAGTAAAACACATATTTTTTATGAATGTACCCAGGATTAGTACCTATTTTCATTAATTTAGACCTAGATCTAGTATGCCGGGCTAGTTTAGACCTAGATCTAGTATGGGGCTTGTTTAGACCTTAGATCTAGTATGAGGCTTGTTTAGACCTGGATCTAGTATGGGGCTTGTTTAGAAATAGATCTAGTATGGGGCTTGTTTAAATTAAATGCAAACCATATTACAGTAAATATGCAAACAGAAACATGTCATTTTACAATAGATTTTTTTTTTTTATTTCAACCATCTTTAAAGAGGGTAACCCAGTAGGTTAACAGAATTTTTCCATGAACATAGTTCTTCATCAAAATAGTCCATTTGAAACCTCACCCCCTATTCCCTAAAAATTTGCTAGACCTATTCAGTATTTTTTTAATTTACATGAGATCTGGGAAGATCGTTTTTCTGGGGATATATCGTTTTTCTCTTCCCTCAGTGATATTTTCTACCAAAATAGCTTAAAGTGGAAAGGTTATATGAGAACTTACCTAAGAAACAGCACGTGAGAGATAACATGAGAGTTCAGTTGCGTATGCGTATGAGATCAGATGATGAACCACAAACCACATTTAAATTGGAAGATTCAATGAGATACACCATCATTTTTTGGGTTTTTTTTTGCAATTAATATGTGAATACCCCTATGCAATTAAAAACCTGCTTTTTTTCTTTATTTACAAAAATATAGACATACAGTAGACATAATGTACATAACATCACTATATTAATAATCAACAGTTCAAGATTTAGATCCTATGAGGAGCTTGATTAATATCCATTTTGTATGGTATTCCTATCTAAATATGTTGATATATAACGGTGATATATAGTTTGGAATATACAAATTTAAATATCATGGTAGTTGAGTTTTCCGGATTTTTTTTTTTACTTGGTCACAAAGTACAAAGATTGTATTAATGAATGTTATTAGCTGATCAGAAAGTAACAGTTTGCTCACTGTCCTCTATTACTTTTTACATTACACAGTAATTCATCACTGAATGTGTTATATTGGTTATTGATAATTAATAACTTATTTCACCTTTGTATGCACCGTATGAATGTCAGGAGTTTGAACAGCCAGTGTAATTTCCGTTGGCACAAATACATTGGATTCTGATTCTTTTAAGCCTCAAGCTTGTTATTTTTTCAAGTTTGTTATATTTTTATTGTTCATGTTATTTTTTATCCCTTGGAGATAAGCATTCTTTGACAAAATTTACTGAATACATTTCAGTTCCAGCTTCACTGCTTCCCTTGTGTTCAATTGTTATCTAACTTTTTGTTGGTTACTAACCCGTACCATTGGTATTGGTCTTTGCATTCCCTATTTCCATATCAATATGTGATGAAATCATATGCAAATTGCCAACGCCCATAAACTGTTTATGTGATGTAGCGGTAGTGTATGTTTTGCCTAGAAATAGTCTCTTTTCATGGGGATAGGCTGGGATAACAGAAGCCCTCCCCTGACAGCAAATTAGTTCCACTAACTGGATTAAAAGAATAAATATAACCATTAAATCATTGAAATTGGGATTTAGTTCCGCATTATCAATTTTCACACAGGATGTGTTAAAACGTAAACTTTGATAACATATAATTGTTTACTCTCAAATTCAACTCAATAAACACGCATTTTATAGCCTACTTTTTTTGGTCCATTACCTGACAAGCCCTGGCCGGGTGTTGGGTGCTTGTGACCTGTCCTGCCCAGGCAGAGGCGGATCCAGTAGTAGGGTGGACACGGGAGGCATTTTCCCATCCCCCAGTTTTGCCACTAAATTTTAAAATTTCAATGCATATATTGAAATTAGGGCTCTCACTTACTGTATCTAATCTAAATATGCTGTGGCCCCCTTCCCCCGTTTGAATAATTCTGGATCCTCTCTGCCCGGGGGGAGGTATTATGCTTCTGCTCATACACCCTACTAGAGCAGCCACTGCATGGTTACACCCAGCAGGACATTTTCGCAGCCTCCTTCCTTACCCCCCTCTAACCTGCCTACGGCCCTGCTTATTCTTGCATGATGGAACAGATTTCAAGTGTTGAAAAATTTGTACCAACATAAAGAACAGACTACACAGTACATTAGATAGAATTGATCACCTGGTATGATGTACAATCCATGCTACTATTAGTAACTGTCTGTAGTAGGTTAGTTTCATATATATGTGCCTTACTAGCCTTCAGATCTAAAAGGTAACAAATATAATTCAGTTAACAAATACATACTTACTAGAGATATATATATGGCTTAAGAATACCATGGAGGAATTAGCTTAGTCCTTCATGATAATACCCAGCACACGTAACAACAAAGCCTATCGATGTAAAATATACGTTTTTAAGCCACAGCTCCAGGCAGTAAGTTACACAACTTCTTTGCTACCCTGAAATTAATACCTCTGTGGTCTTTTGCAAATGGATAGAGGGCAGCAAATAATTAACCCAGAAATATAGTATAACTGCTACACTGTTGGATAGAAGAACAAGTGAATGATCAGCTGAAACCACAGGGTTATGTACATTGTGTACAGTAATAATGGTGATGTTGAGGATGTTAAACATTTTCTTTTCAGTTTTAGTGTGTTTGATAACATACGATTTAAAGAACTTAATGACCTAAAAAATAACCTGGACTTATCCAACTATAATATCTGGCAAATATTTCAATCAGCAGACCTTGAAGGTGAAAATACATTACTTAGTGAGGATGTTCTTAGAACCTTCGACAAGTTGTAAGAATTACGCCAAGATGGCATGGTAAAAACAATCAGAAATTAAGTCTACATTAGTTTAATATAAATATGTTATTATTCCTTGTATGTTGCATTTTGATTATTATTGAAAAATGCAATACCATTTCTTACTATAATCTTAAATGAATGAGTTTGGCTTAGCTGTAATAATAATTAAAACAAAATAATTATAGAAGTTAATAATAATAATATTATATATGATTATTATTGATTATATTAATTATTAATTATATTGATTGATGGTTAGTTATTAATTGGTTTTACTGTAATTGTTCTTTTTAATTATATTATAATAACTATTAATTAATAATAATTATTATTGTAATGACTATTACAGTATATGCAAATAATATAACAACGAAAATAAAAATTAAATAAATGCATGACAACTAACATTATACCCAGAGTTGTTGGTCCAATTTAAGACATTCACTTTTCTTTTATTTTCTGTTTAATGTAAATGTTGGCCCCTTTTTGTCATGTCGCATTTTTCTTTCCCAATTTTGATTTAAATTGAATTTTGTGTGCAATGCTCGGATGATCTCTTTTTCCTAGAATTGTTATATTTGATAACAACAATAATAATTATAATAATAATACTGTTATAATAATGATTCAATAATTAATAATAAAAATAATTGATTTTATTATGTATATGCTTTTTAACCTCTTGTGTACTTGATGTTTCAAATTTTTATGTATTTTAATGTTACTTTTATCTCCATGATTTTTCATGTCTTGTGCTTGTGTGTGTTTGATTGATGTTTTAATATTTGAAAATTAATACTTTTGAAATATACAAATTTAAATATCATGGTAGTCGTATTTTCCTGTTTTTTTTTTACTTGATCACAAAGCACAAAGATTGTTTAATGAATGTTATTAGCTGATCAGAAAGTAACAGTTTGCTCACTGTCCTCTATTACTTTTTACATTACACATTAATTTATTTTTTAATGTGTTATATTGATAATTAATAACTTATTTCATCTTTACATGTACTGTATGTATGTCAGGAGCTTTGGAAATTACACTGGTTGTTACCAGTGTAATTTCCGTTGGCACAAATACATTGGATTCTGATTTTTTAAGCCTCAAGCTCGTTATTTTTTTAGGTTTGCTCAATTTTCATTGTTCATGTTATTTTTCATCCCTTGGAGAATATAAGCATTCTTTGACAAAATTTATGAATACATTTCAGGTCCAGCTTCACTGCTTGCCTTGTGTTCCATTGTTATCTAACTTTTTTGTTAGTTACTGACCCGTACCATTGGTATTGGTCTTTGCATTTCCTATTTCCATATCAATATGTGATGAAATCATATGCAAATGTCAACGCCCATAAACTGTTTAGGTGATATATAGCGGTAGTGTATGTTTTGCCTAGAAATAGTCCTTATCATGGGGGTAGCCTGGGATAACAGAAGCCCTCCCCTGATGGCAAAATCGTTCCACTAACTGGACTAATGACCATTATAATATCATTGAAATTGGGATTTAATTTCGCATTATCAATTTTCACACAGGATGTGTTGAAAAATGAACTGTGTTAGGTTTACTAGAGCACTAGCCACTGCATGTTTACACACAGCATTCCACAGAGTATTTTATAGCTGTCTCTTATACACATCTAACCTCATACGGTCCTGCTTATTCTTGCATAATGGAACACATTTCAAGTGTTGAAAAATTTGTACCAATGAGAAGAGTAGACTACAGAGTACAGTACATAGAATTGATCACCTGGTATGATGTACAATCTATGCTACTATTATTAATTAGTATTGTTATTTGTCTATAGTAGGTTAATTTAATAAACTCTATATGTGCCTTACTAGCCTTCAGATCTAAAAGGTAACAGTATAATTCAGTTAACAAATACATACTTACTAGAGAAATATATGGCTTAAAAATACCCAACATAAGTAACAACAAAGCCTTACTTTCGAAGCCACAGCTACAGGCACTGCTTACACAGTTCTTTGATACTCTGATCTGAAATAATAACCTCTGTGGCCTTTTGCAAATTGATAGAGGGCAGCAAACAATTAACTCAGTAGTACAATAACTGATGCATAACTCGCACGCCTGAGGCGGGAGTAGTACTTACTTGGAGATGAAATAAACAAGCACAACTTGCCATTTACAAATGGAGTCTCAATCATTTCTTAGGTTAATACCTACTACAAAAGCCATGGGCTTCACCAAAAAGTTTGACAAGACAGTATGAAACAAACTTTAAAAACTGATTAAATATTTCAAACTTTAATAATTTAATTATTTTATTAAGTTATAACAGTTATGTATTTATTCATTTAATAAATATTTGTCACAATACATTGAAACATTGTTCTCACTATGACTTGTACAGCATCACGTTTTCCTTCATACTGTCTATATTACAAAATGGCAATTAAGTTTTAAGGTAACTACCAATATATAGTTTCTTAGCATCTTTTTCTTTAAAAAATTTATTTGAGTACTATGCTATGGCATTCCTTGTAAGTACTTTAAATAAATAAGAATTGAATGTGAAATATATTATTGAATACTTGACTTAGAATATAATGTAGAATTGTATTTATATTTCATTCTGTTAATAAATTTTAAGTATCACACTTAACTTGTACCAATTAAAAGAACACAAGAAAAAAAACATTACCAAAAGAAATTTCAAATGTTTAACTTGCAAATGCAAACAGTAAAATATACCAACAATGAGTCCAAAGACTTTACCAATTGCGTGACATAATCCTGGGGTGGGTGCAGGGTGGGGTGGGGTGCGATCGCA